TGCTAAAAGCTCTCCACATATCTTCAAATGACCACACTTTTGGGAAGTTCGTGAAGAAAAAGGGAACAGCTTGGTTGTGAATTCCTTTGTTGTAGCCTCCTAATTGCTGATGCGATTGACCTTGTCCATGCAATCTAGAACTCTTATAAGACTCTACTATCCGAAAGCTTCGTGTTATTCATCCAAACTCTCTTGTTCGCATTCTCCCTCTCATTGTTTTTCTTCTTGCTCATCCAAATTTTGATAGCTAATCACCATAAGTAACACTTGATAGGCAGAGGAATAGCATGGCAATAATAAGAATAAGGGTTTGTCTAATATGTGTACCTTAGTATATATTAAAAGTATAATTATTGTACTTTTTTATAATAATTATTATTAAAAAAACTAAAAACTTGAAATTGATCAGGTAGATAATTTTAATTTTATAGTTATTTAAATAAAAATTAACTCTTTTTTTTCAATAGTAATTAATGAGAAAAAAGTGATATAATTACCCCCTTAAGGGCAAATGTTAGAAAAAGTCTAATAATAATAATAATAATAAAACACAAATCATTCTCTAATGTTTCTTTTACATTTTATGTTTGCCTAAAGGAAGAAACATGGTGACTTACATGATAACAAATTTTTAGGGGCTTAATTGAATTGTGTACAACTTTCAGGGACTTATTGTGTCATTTTCCTTTCTCTGCACGAGTAAGTCCTCATCGCTAAATACCCAACTTCAGGGGTTCGGATCCATCCCTCTGCTTGCAGCTAATGCCATATAATTAATTCTACCATTTCATGGTAGGTATGGCCGCCGGCCATCATCTCTTTGGTAGCTTTAGCCGGGATCCGCAAACACCTCTATCTGGGTATGTCCCATGATCGAACTCCAGCTCCCCTCCAAACCCAATAGGTAGGTCCCCGGTACACCGCCCGGCATCAATCAGAAAACCCCCTCCACTAAGGTCCAAGGGACCCAGCTAACCCAGAAACCATTTACAGTTGTTATTATTTATTATTGCAATTCAAATTCAGGTGCATTTCTCTTGCACCCACTTTAATATTGTCCTCCTATTTGCTTGATTCTGTGCTGGGCTATGGATGTTTTGTTGTAGGTTTCTGATCTCTGTTTCACTCCTATTTGCTTCATTCATGGACCAGTTTTTGATGTCTTCACTCTTGCATTTGTGCAGTTCCATTGATCATACTTTCAATTTTGCACTTTTGCAGTGATGCTTTAGGAACTGATATCATGTTATGGCAAGGCTTTCCAGTAGAATCAACCTCAATAATTTGAAAAATCTTGGGCGCTCCTCTCATGAATCCAGGTGAACATTTTGTGTTGCTAATAATTAATTACAGATCCTTACTATCTTTGTGCTTGTCTTGATAAGAAAAACGCGGATAAACTTGGAGATAAAGAAATAAC